GCCCAGCCAGAGCTTGGAGACCGAGCTCAGGCGGTGCCACCGCCTGACTAGGGCGGTTGCACCGCCCAGCCAGAGCTCGGAGACTGAGCCCTGAGCGGTGCCAACGCCGACCCAGGTGGTGCCACCTCTGGCCAAGTAATCTGGGTCCGAATGGGCTGATCCATTCGGCCCAATTTGGGTCTGTCAAGGGCTCAATTGCCCTAAGATTAAGTTAATGGGATCACCTCCCATTTCTAACTTAATTATTGTGCTAACTACGAATTTCTTAAGACATTTACTGCAACTTGCTCCGGTGCGTCAATCGCTTCTTTCGGCGAGCTTTCGGCGAGCTTCCATCGATCATCCGATGAACCCACGGTGATGCTCCTGCCGACTTCCGGCAAACTCCTGGACTTGCGACGATCCATTTGGTGAGTTCCGACGAGCTTCTTTTGGCAAGCTCCTAGACTTCTCGGATTTGTTCCCGCAGAACCTCCGACGACCGTCCGGACTTCTGTCGAGCTCTCGAACTCCCAACGTAATCATAGTTTTGACTCCGGCGCAACTCCTGCTGCATGTCTTACTTTCATCGTAGTTAATCCTGCACACTTATCTCAACATATGGATTAGATAACAAATGACAATTGACGTCATCTTCAAAATTCGAGATTCAACAAGGTTATGTAAAAAAGGACTATAAGATTTTGGTTTGAAAAGAAAAGGTTTAAGTTTGACCTTTGCATGTTTCGAATCAAACGTTATAAAAGATATTTTTTAAAATTTGGTGGATTGATTTTGACGCTTCAACTTATGTACCCAATAATAAATATTTATTTTAATATGAGATTCAAAAGAGTGAAATATTCATTATTATAAGAATTCATCTTAAAGTGGAAGCGATAGTAGTGGATACTTAATGCATATACTTAGAGATGATTTGTATCAAGGTCTGCCGTACCGAAGCATACCGCCCGTACCGGGTGGTACGTACCGGTCCGACAGGTTATCGGTACGCGAATCGCCCGGTACCGCTACAGTGCTACAGTATTATACTGTAGCACTGCTACAGTATAAAAAAAATAAAAAAAAATATTCGGTACACCAGGGCATACCGCTCGGTACGCCTTGATGTACCGCCCGGTACACCGGTACCGTACCGTACCGAGCCCGGATCGAAACGCCGATACGGTACGGTACAACGAACCTTGATTTGTATGATAGATCTTGAGGATGCATGTTATGTTACTACAAATTTATGTTCTTTATCTAGGATTGTCAAAAATATTATTTCTCTTTTGGTGGTGGTAAACTCATCATTATGCAATAATTTTTTTTAAATTATCTATGATTGTTTATATGGAATTAATACGAATTTTGAGGTTATAATGATCTTGTAATAAAATATTAGAATGAAATGTAGTTTTATGAAATCATTAAGATTATATATGTTTGCATCTATGGGGTACTCCATATTTCATATTTATATGTTTGCATGTATGGGTTACTCCATATTTCATATTTTAGCAGAGAGAAATATTTTATCACTTTTATTTATAACCTGTTAAGATATGATTATCTGATGTCTCAAGCTACTAACATCTTTAGGTGTACATAAATGAAATCAAAAGATAATTAAATAAAAAAATTAAAATTATCAGATATGACAAGAGTGATAAATTTTATGGTAGTTATGATAAATTTGATCATAATTCTGGTTGGATATATGTTCTCATTATGTTTTACTAGATGTATCATAACAGAACGAGATTACTAAAAAGCAAAATCATACTCATGCTAAGAGCATAATGAGTTATTCTTCTATATCTGGATCAATATCAGAATAAGCTCTATGGACGATTATATATATCTTGAACAAGGTCTTTAATAAATCAATTCTATCATTTTTTTAGTTATAAATTTATAGGAAACCTATATATTTAGGATTGTAGTCTTCAATTCACATGAAAAGAAATTATATTCAATTATTATTTATGTATTTACCTTCATGAGGATCGTTAAATCTAGTAATACAAGATTCCTAGAAAATTTGTGACTACAATCTCTCCATCAATATCTCTCCTATAAAAACTAAGTATGGTTTATTTTAAGAAATAATTTTTTGGCAATTACACTTAAATGTTTTACTCATTATTGGTTAAGAATATGTTAGGAATCAAAATTGATTTAGTTATAATTATAAATCTTAGTATGTATATTTTTCAATTTGGTCTAAATTAGACAAAAGTATAGATACGAATAAATATATAATATGATTATTAGTTATTTCTATTATGAAAAAAAATGAGATTATGTCTAGAGAAGTAGGATATCTCTTCTATAAAATCCCAATCGAATATCTTCAAGTCATCAAAAAGCAAGATTGATCGAAGGAAGAAAAGAAAAATGTCGACCGCCAAGAAAGAGGAGATGAAAGGTAGTAATCCTTATTATTTCTTATTGATACATTCTTGTAAATATCTTTTTCGATATATTTCTTCACACATTTGATGCATACCATAATCTATATTGAAAATCAACTTGTTTAAATTAATTTATCATACAATCTATTGAATGTAGAGGTGAAATTTTATGATCTAGTCTTGTTGGTCAAAGGCTAAAGACTGATAGTTCGGCTTATTAACTATAATTTTGAATCAACTCATTCCAATATGATAATTCTTCATTTTTATAAATATCTCCTTGAACGCATGCACAGAAGTACTTTGAAACTAATTGGAGTGATCGTTGAGCTGGTTTTGGGCTAATGCAAACAGCATATTCAGCTAGTTCTTGCTTAATCCAAAACACCTATACCGTAAATGTATAGATTCAATTTCCTTCACTATAAATAAATAATTCTATTCTAGTTGTAAAATTAGATTGTATTATTATTTTTTACCTACTTTTTATTTACGTATCTATTTAATAGGAAACTAGTCAAAATCATTGAAGATTCATGGAAAACAAAAAGATTCATAATGTTAATCTAGCTATGATAGTTAGATTGATGATAAAGGTTTAGGGTACTGGCTTGTGACTCTGAAATGACCGAAGGTGCTAATTAGCCTCGTTGGTAATAAAGATTTTGATAGTTCATCGTTCTGAACTTTGAGTCCTGTCTTTACCTCTTATCTTAAAAACAAAAGACTTTGGAATGACTATAATTTTTTATTTATTCTCATCTGTGGTTAATTTGATATAGGAGATGATGATGAGACTAGAAGCGAAGCCGGGGAAGAGCCAATTCTCTGTATCAACAACTGTGGTTTCTTTGGAAGTGTGGCAACCGGAAATATGTGCTCCAAGTGCTACAATGAGTTCTCGACGAACAACAATGTTTTGGCACCATCGGTTTGTGCTTCGAGCTCAAGCGAGCCTGTAGAAGCGAAGGCAAAGGAGGGGCCAAACAGGTGCAGCACTTGCAAGAAACGGGTTGGTTTGACTGGTTTCACTTGTCGGTGTGGGAACCTCTTCTGCTCTGTGCATCGTTATTCGGATAAGCATGACTGCTCATTTGATTACCGGAGTGCGGCACAGAATGCAATCGCCAAAGCGAACCCTGTTGTTAAGCCTAAAAAGCTTGATAAGATATAGAGAATTGGAGTAAGCAAATGCTGCGGCCATTGGTCTATTGTTGGTATATGTTGTTACTATTAGTCACCGTATATGAAACCTCTGATAAGATGCATCGCTGTAATGCATGACACTCTATATATTATTTTTTATTATGCCTCGTTGCAAGGTTATGATTGTCTTATGTATTGATAAAATGCAACCTAAATGGAAGAGATTAAAAAAAAACTGTTTGAAATTAGAAGACCAGAATTTATATAAGATATGCATCTTATAATCGCAAGATGTTTTGTATCGTCTTTGATTTATGTAATGCTCTGATTGGTTCTGCGTCATAAGTGAATGGTTCTATGTGTATTATTATTAATTTTAATTTAAAGATTTTGACCAATGATTTAAATCAAATGAAATTGATGATGAAATTGATGCTTTTTTAATTGGATAGAAAAAGTTTATATATATATATATATATATATATATATATATATATATATA